GAGTCAGAAGAAGTACAATGTACACATCAAGACTTTGCCCTCAACGAACACGTCGTGTATTTCTTACAGGTGAGTTTGGGTGTGTGACAGAAGCCAAACTGAGACTGGAGGGAAACAGGTACATGACTGTGGCTGTCAAGACAATGAAGAGTAAGTCATACTGATTAAAGACCAGATTACTCAACAATGTTTTGATAACATCTTTCTTGTAATAAGAAAGAAGAAGAAAGGTCTCCCGTGCCTTTGTGCAGAGCGTAGGGTGGTGCCCATATCCATTTCTGTAGCCCTCGGGCGACACACAGTTGTGCAATGCACTACAGCAGGGGACTAGTCTGCTGGTAGTGCTGTGCGTTTGACCTTCCCACACTCTTTCTCATATGTGCTGAGTGCTAAGCAGAGAAAGAAGTGTGTACCATTTTTTAAAGTCTTTGGTATGACCCAGCCGGGGTTTGAACTCACAACCTCCCAGTTACAAAGCGGGCACTCTACCAATTGAGCTATTGCACCGGTATTATGCTGTTGGTCTGTAAATGGCTGACATTTTCTTTTCCATGTCCATGATTGTCCTCTCAGGTAGAAGCAGTAAGCAGGAGGTAGAGGCCTTTGTCACAGAAGCTCTGAGGATGAAGGATTTCCACCATCCCAACATCATGAGCCTGATTGGTAGGATATTTTTTCTTGCACACATGTATGAGATTATTACAGGCTCGGCTGATCTTTGCTTTGTTTGATCTTATCAAAACATTTTAAGGTGGATAATTGATTTTTAAAAACTCAGAGTAATTAATTTTAAGTTGGATAACTGATTTTTTAAAAATGGGGGAAATCAATGCCTTCAAGTGCCATTGTACATTGTAGCTATTGTAGTTACCGTAAGAAGGAAAACTAGCATTCTTGTGTAACAAGGTTCTCTATTCAACAACCAGTGCATTTTTACATCCGACGTTTCACACATTGTACACAATAACTGGTTGTGATACATACTACAGCTACATTTCGATGTAAAAACCCACTGGTAGTTGAATAAAGAACCTTGTTATATGCCTGTAGAGTCTTGTGAACCCTATGAAGTTTTTCACGGATGTAACCATTCTTTTTAATTATTGACATCCACCTAGGTTTAATCATGGAACCTCCCGAGACGAGATTTTTGCCAGTGAAGGCCATGGTTGTCCTGCCCTTCATGAAACATGGTGACCTTCACACCTTCCTCCTGCGCTCCAGACTGGCAGACAAACCTAAGGTATGTCCAGACTGTGCATGATGTACAAAATAACTAATAAGTCTGGTGGACGTACCAACCACTAAGTATCTGATACCAGCCCAGAAAAGAACAAGAAACAGTCATGCCTTCAAGAATTCAGTTGTTCAAAAACTTAGTTATGCAAAGATTGAGTACAACAACAGGTTGTTCGGTGTCAAATACTTGACGTAATGTACATGTGTAGCTAGCTGCCGCTATGTTGCATGCCTGCAAAGCTGGCGTGTTACACCAAAGTCTTTTTTAAGTTAAACTTAAAAGACATTCAAAATGTTAAAAGTTTAGACTTACAACATGTACATGTAACTTCTTTAAAAATGTCACATCATTACAATGTATAACTAAAGGTCTTCTGTCTTTTTTTTTACCAGTTTGTGCCAATCCAGACCTTACTGAAGTTCTCCGTGGACATTGCCAAAGGCATGGAGTACCTGGGACAGATGGAGTTCTTACACAGAGACCTGGCTGCAAGAAACTGCATGTAAGTCAAGGTTTTAGTCTGTTCATTTGTAGCTAAAGCCCCAGTCACAACCCGCCATGCGTGCTTTTTGTCAGTAAGTTTTATTAGGAGGCTACGTCTGCTACATTTTTCTGAAAATGTGGGAATGGCCTCCTTTACCGTAAGGAGGCCGTACTCACATGTGCATCTTACGTACGGTTTGTACGGGGGCACGCGTGTCGCCCGTACTTGCATGTATGGGTGGTGAATCCGTAGACCACACGCAGAAAAAGTTTTACGGTGTGTCTGCGTGCTCCCAATCAATCATTCTACATGAATATGAGATTGCTAAAATTGTAAATTATGTAACTTGCCACCAGGTTGGATGAGCAGCTTGTCGTTAAGGTTGCAGACTTTGGCCTGTCCAGAAAGATCTACTGTGAGAACTACTACAGACAGGGCAGCATGGTCAAGGTGCCGGTCAAGTGGCTGGCCATGGAGAGTCTGGCCGACAGGGTGTACACCACACAGAGTGATGTGGTGAGTAGAACAGTCAAACCTGCCTAATAGTATATACTCCAATTCTATCGTGGCCCGGAACCCATAGATCCTGGGTTTGATTCCCAACCTACATGCCCCAATGTTGTGCCCTTGGGAAAGGCACTAAACACAACTTTCTTCACTTCACTTACTAATAGGTGAAAATGAATACCTAGCTTCGGTTGTCAATCTTTTTTTTAATTCGCACGCTCGCATCAGTTTTGGGGTTCCCACAGGTTGTCATCCATATAATGAAATCAACATGGCCTAAGGTAGTTTAAACTTTTTGTTAAATGACCAACCTCATAAATCCTGTCTTCAGTGGTCGTTTGGTGTGACCCTGTGGGAGATCATCACACGAGGAGCCACCCCCTACCCAGGTGTGGCTAACCACGAGGTGTACGACCTTCTACTCAAGGGCATGAGACTACAGAAGCCTAGGGACTGCTCTGACCAACTGTAAGTACATGTACAAGACTTGAATGTGTGCTCTGTTTTTAAGATTTTACAGGATTAACTGATGTCAAATGGCCATGAGATTGAGTGGTCAATGGTTCGATCCCTGGCTAGATGTTATTCCCCTGCATGGGGAAGAAGCTATAAAAGACTTTCCTCACTCCATCCAGGTATAAAATGGGTACCTGACTTTGACTGGGGACAAGCTCTGCCTTCCAATACTGTGCCCTAGACACAGTGGACTGACTGCTCCTACAGCCTCAAAAAGGCTATGGAATCTTTATACATGTACTATATATATGTATACAAATACTGAGTGCTGACACATTCTACTGAAAGTCTTCTTTTTTCAAAGGGCGGCAGAGAAATAAAGAGTTGACAAAAGGCTATCGGGCTAGCTATCTTTGTTATTCTAAAAGATGATACATGTATAGTACGTTATTCATAACTCTAAATCAAAGGAAAGCCCCAGTGAAAAAATGGTATGGTTTTAGGACAGTATTCTTAACTGTCATGAACTAGTCTGCATTCTGTATCTGTATATCTGTATAGCCGGTATAACCGTCTTTCGGCGTAACACGTACTGTGTAACTTAATGTCTCTTCTTCTGCAGCTACCAGATCATGTACAGTTGTTGGAGGCTCAACCCAAAACACCGTCCGAGTTTTAACTTCCTGGTCAGGAGGCTGCACACCATGTTGAGTGCCATGCCTCCACCCCCGTCCATCGATAACTCCTTCTACGAGAACACCAGTAACGTCATCAAACTCACCGACTCCGAGGCCTGCTTCCAGGACACAGAGTGCTAGCAGTTAGATAGGATGAGAGTGTTGCAAAATATCTACTATTCAAAAGCAATTTACTCACCACATGCGATCTTAAAGGCATCCTTTGCAATTTCAGGGCAGCAAAACAATATTCTGCACGAGAAAATCTGTCTAATATTGACATTTACTTCCATTTCTTAGCAGATTTTCCTCATCATTTCATAGATGAAGCATATGTAATAGCCCCAAAACAAGCTATGTAAGGCATTTGGGTACCACCAATAAATACCTACATGTAGATCCAGCCTTTTATACGAAACCGGAAACCATTTTCCTTTAGCAACATGTATTTCATCTCATACAGTGTAAATGTACATGTACACTCTACATGTCATGTAGATGCTTGCCTTACAGATATCAATATGCTATGGGATATACATGTAGTTGATTCAAATTTACTATATTAAAAGAATGAATAGAAAACTGACTGAAAATCCAGTTTTGCCACACTTAAATTTCATTGAATGCCTTTAATTTTTTTGCTAAGGTAGCCGTTAATGGCACCATATTTGTATTGGTTAGGCAGCAGGGAGAAGGTTAAAGCAGCTGTGCTTTGATGAACCCTTGGACATTCCTGCACATTACATGTTGTGTAAATTCAGCTTAGCCAAGATGACATGTCTGCCAAGTTAGTGGTTGTAAAAGAAATATCTTCATTGAAAAGGAGCTGGGAAGTTATCTTTGATGGAAATAGTTGCTAAAGAAAAGAGAGAGTACATGCTTTGGGGAAGAAATGTCTTAAGAAATATTTGTAAAATTCATTTCACCTAAGACATAAAATATTATCGGTAAATGGTACGTTAAGGGTTATTACAGTGTAATTAAAATAACCGTACCAGTAACTGCTGTAACATCCAAGGAGCTAACATATACTGCCAGATATAAGATGTAATTGTACTCCTGTTGCAGTTTTTGTTTGTTTTTTTATTCATCCTAGGATTATTGAAAATGTTGTCTGAGATAGTGTGCAGTAATTTTTATATATGTGTCAAACTGTCAGAAATACATGTAAGCCATGATGCTCTGAAGTGATGAGGGTAGGTTGGTGTTAGTGTGGGCCTGTGCAGTGTTTTTTTAAACATCATTTAAAAATGATTGCCTAGTAATACACATTGCCTTCTTGTGGGTGACTGGAACATGATTTAGCTATAAGTATTTGTAGTCTAGGGCCCTTTTCCCACTAGGATAAAACTGTACGGATAAAGTCAAATAGATTGTTGACCAGTTTCCAATCTGTTCAGCTTGATGCGGACAATTGTATCCTAGTGGGAAAAGGGCCTCGGTTAGTCAGTCACACATGTTGCATTGTAATGAAAATACAATGAAATGTGTGGATATGAAATTCAATGTACAAAAGTATGTAAGTAGAGAGATGAATATATTAAATTTTTGTAATGAGGCATTGCTTTGCAAATGCTGCTACATGTATATGAGATAGGACACTTCTTAATTTTTAATATGTAGATGCAAAGGTACTGGAATTGGTATACCCTCATATACAGTAATCACATACATGTACCTTTATGACTTAAAAATTTTATTTAACTTAGAACTTCGGACTTTGAACTTCGGAAAATCCATTGTATATATTTGTACATTTGCATATAGAATTTGCAGCATTATGGTGAGCACTGACATGAATGTTTCTTGTATTTGAAGAAGCTGCTAGTATGCTTTCCTTACTTTATCAACTGGTAGATGGTACATGTATTCCAATTCCATGTAAGGCCACACCAATTTAATTTCTTGGTTAACGCATTCGCCCGCTTCATTTTTTTCTGATTTGCCAAAAAAAAAAAAAAATTTACAGAATCAACTGCAAAATGGTCATATTTCACCCTGAACAGTTGAAAACAGTCCTTTCCTTCCTAGTTGTTACAGTTAATCCATCTTTCAATGCAGTGGTATCATAAAAGTTCTAAATTCATTGTTTAAATTTTGAACCAGCCTGGTGTGTTGAATTCATGGCTCCTCTCGTACCATTTTGGGCCATAATAGGATGCCTAGGCCTGTTTTTTATTTTTATTTTTTTTCGCCTTCCCGCTCCACTATTTTTCTAGAAAAATCTGTTAACCAATAAATCAAATTGGTGTGGCCTAATGTATTGTTATCAGCATGCATGACTAGTGATGCATACCGGTTCGCTGGACTTGGATCCGGACTTGTAAGAATGTTTAGGTTCAAGTCCAAAAAAACCTAAAAGTCAAGAACTGAGTCCGGACTTACATGTATTACCATAAAAGACCATTTCACAAACCCCTTTTCTTTCCAAATCACATAAAACATTCCGTAGATTGCAAAATCTTTGCTGCAAAATGAAGAATACTAGTACATTGCCATTGGGCATCGTCAAGTACCGGCCTCCATGTTATGTGGCTAAAGTTTCACCCAGACAACATTGCAAGGTTGCCAACATGCAATTTTGTATATGCCATGTCCGGAACTGAACCTAAACCTCTGGACTTGAATCCGGACCTGAACCTAAAATTGGGTTTAGGTATGCATCACTATGCATGACAGTGTACTCTTGTTAGTATGTACAGTTGTATCATTGTACTTGTTTGTGTTCTTCTTTACATGTTACACATGTTCACTTCAGTTTTGTAGTTTACTTGAGTCTATACTAGAAACGTTTACATATTAAGGTCATGCATGTTACACTATCTCAATTCTTGTCATACTTGTCATACAAAAAGCTGCCATAATACATGTACCTTACCCTACCCAATTTATGTTTCTAATATCAGCAGTCAGTATTTCAAAGCAACAAAAAAAACAGTGTTGTAAAACAAACTGCAACTGTGTGAAAACTTGCCAATACTATAAGACACATGTAAATACCTTCTGTTATTAAAACTTCGTTTCTGAGCAAGGTTTCCACTCATAAACTTACTAGTTTTGACTCTTTCGCTTACTAGTAACTGTATATAAATGTAATTCCTGATTTTGTCACGGTACTATAATAATGTTCACAGTTTTCATGGTCACTTTTGTACCTTGAACATAATATCCTTACTGTTAGTGTTACCAATCTTGTATTTCACCCACTCTCATCCCCACCATGAAGATTTGAGTTCAGTGAACATGTCTATTTTCCTCAGACCATGAAATTTTGTTAGTACCGTGAAGACAGAGAGAATTACTCTTACTACTAATCATCTGCCCTTAGCTGGAGGTTTGTATGGGGAAGTGGTGTGATCTTCCATGTCCATACGGTCATGTCCCTCCCTGAAACAGGAACAGGAAACAAAAATGAATGTTTGAACAACAGTTGTGGATAAGAACCAGCAAATAAACCTGTATAGCTGGTATAACTGCCCTTAGATGTGTACATGTACATGTACATAACACACCAGCTTCGCAGACACGTGGCACACAGCAATCTGGTCATATATATCACAATGGACGACTTGTCACATCTAACATTTGCACATCTAGCTGCAAGTGTTGTTTAAAGATATCTAGTAGCTACCTGTATAGTGAGATGCCCCTACTATACATGTACTTGGTGGCAACAAGTTCCACCCTACCATGTAGGAAAGATGATTTCTGAACACCTGTTGGTACTTGAAGGCATGACAACAAAATTGTACATTCATGCTCTTTTCTGAGTTGGTATTTAAGTTCTTCTTCTTTCAATTTGAGGCAGCCGCCTTCAACTAGCTGAAGATTCTGCTGCCTTTTGTGGCTAGTACGAGATGGGGTTTGCCAGGCCTCTATCCGGTTGATTTGTAGTGAATCACCAACTTCCAGGCAGTGATAGTTTTGTACCATCGCACACCGGGGCATTCCCCTACTCTTTTTTTAAAGGTGTGGTGGGTTCTTTTATGTGCGTAGGGTGTGGCTCTCCCCAAACACGGAACCTCCATTTAACGTCCTATCCAAGGGACGTCCCTAACTGAGGCTAGGTACTCATTTACACCCGAGTTAAGTGAGGAAAGTCAATGTAAAGTGCCTTTCCCAAGGGCACAAGATGGCTACGCCACACAACCCCATTTTGCACATAATTTTTTCTGTCTCGGAGTGTCATCCACTGTACATGTAGGTTTGTTAGGTGTCTGTGTTGATAGCGTACCTGTAGCACCTCCTACAGTACAGGTCCTCATCACAGCCGTGACATGTCAGGACGGCGTCCTGGTTACAGATGCAACACCAGGGCAGCTCCTCATCACTGTCTGACTCGTCAGCAACAAACTGTCAACAGTTGTCAACAACAGTTTACAAACAGTCAGCACTTAAAAACCTCCACTGGTGCAGGTGACACTGAAAATTACCTGCACCAGACAAATTTTACCTGTACCACTCAAACTTTGAGAAGTACATGTATGGATCATGCATGCTAAAACCTTTGTCGTTATTTCTTATTAGATATAATTAAGCATATTTGAGTCGATTCAGAACCAGAATCTTTTCTTTTTTTTTTGGCAAATCAGGAAAAAATGAAGAGGCGATTCTGAGGACCAACAAATCAAATTGGTGTGGCCTCACTGTTTGAATCACAAACCATCCTGGTATGTTGACGTCATGGCTCCTACCATATAGCACTTGAGGCTTTTATAGAATGCTTAGGCCTGCATTTTTGCCTTATCAGTATTTTTTCTACAAAAATCATGTTTCACTTCAATTTATACAAGTTTCGCTTCAGTCTATACTTTTACTTCTTTCAGTGGTTAATCATTTTGTGGAGGTCAAGATTAATAAATCAATGAAGACCTTTATGTTTTAAAATTTGCATGACTGGCTTAATAAAATGTCACATATTTACATACACCCATTCAGTTTAATTCAATCAACTGGCATGTACACAGGAATAGCGAACATGAATTTTGTTGAAAGTTACAAAGATATTCAAAATGCAATAAAAGAACATACTAAGAGCTCTCAACATTAAGAATACGATTAGAAGCATAACATTATCTATTAAAACTTTAAGTTATCAGAATATGAAGCAGTCTTGATCAGATCATTATACAACTTAATCACTCTAAGAAAGAATGACAGACATCTAATATACACTCATGTCTTCTAGCCAGTTTCTGTCTCTATCAGTTGACAAAATTTTGCCACTCATCAAGACAAAAATGTTGAAAAGGTTCCAAAAACACAGTCACCTTTTGTCTGCTTGCCTTGGTTGCACCTGGAGCCTTGTTGGAAACTTTACCCTTCTTTTGACCCAGGAGGTCTGCATATCCCGATGCTTTGACCTTCTCATCTAACTTGTCCTCTTCTAGGGCCTGAATGATTGGTGAATAATTATTCCTGGTGCAGAAGAACATGCACAACCATCTCTGCCTAGTACTCAGTTTCACTACATTAGAGTAAAAATGGCAGAACTACTTCTAAAAGTAAAAATGGAGTTATGACTTTCTAAAAATACATGTTCGTCTTAACCCTGAATGAAGACAAACAGTACAAATGACAACTGACAGCTTGCTTGCATAACCTTTACATGGCTAAAGTTTGCACCTGTTGTTATTATGAGTTGATGATAATGATTAAAATACCTGTATAGTAAATTAAATTTTAGGCTCTCACAAGCTAAATACAGGCTATGATAGCTATGATGACAAAGTACATGTAGTTCTAGGTACAAAAAATGATATGACCCTGGTATCTTACTAACTGTACATCTACAAGGGCCATACAATGTAAATACTATGTACACGTATACTACTACATGTAGTATGTACAGGTTTTTAACTTTTTTCTTGCTTCTTAACACCGTTTTTAGTGTGAGAACAATTTTTTTTCATGGAGCTAGCTGCTTAATGATACATGATTTATCAAGTTGCACAATTGAAATTTGCTATCTAAATATTTAGAATTAAGTGAAACTTTTAATTGCTGATGTATTGGGGATATTTCTCTCATTTTTTAAGTACAGTACCTGTTGAAGAATCCTTCTGGTTGTCTCTGCTTCGTCCTCATCACTGTCCCACTTGGAGCACGCCCCATCTCCTGGAATGAATTAAACATATATAAACAACTTTCAAGGGTATTAAGGTTAAGCTGTAACTTCCAACAGAAAATTTTTTAGACAGTACAACTCCAGTCTTTGTCAAGGGGGGGGGGGATGGCACAGACTTTCTGCAAGTTACAATTGAAGAATAGACAGTTTATTGTGAATTCATGCCTAATTGCAAAGATATGGTACATGATGAAATAAGACAATTTATATATGAATTGGGAGGTGTTAATAGAAATGTAGTTTTTTGTAGGCTGGAATATAAAGACTGACCTGTGAGGTTGTCCAGTCCCTTGAGCCTGTCCAGCCTGTGTGCCAGCTCCTGTGTTCTCTGCCTGCCTGCCTGTTCTGTCCCCAGCTCGGCCCGGGCCTGTGTGATCACACACGTGTCCAGTATTGGAGTGAACTGGCAGAAGTTGTCTGAAGTTGGCAGATGTTAAACCAGTCCTAACTTGCAACAGTCGCCCAGGAGGTGGCATAAGTATCTGAAGTTGGCAGAAGTTAACTTCGGACACCTGCCACCCTACCCCACCAGTGTAGGAAGTTACATTAGGCCAGTCGTAACTTTGGACAACTCTTCGGACAACTTCAGACACCTGCCACCCTATCTAAGTTACATTAGGTCATGTAACTTTGGACAACTTCAGACAAACTACTCCCCATAGCCTCAAAAGCAGTCTGAAATGGTCATAACTTTGGACAATTTCTGCCACCTTAACTTCTGCCATTTCACTCCGATACGGTCAAACCTGCCAAGAAGACCACCTCTTCAAGCAGGCCACCTGTCCATGGTGACAGCTTTTTCTCGGTCCCAAAAATTTTCCCCATTGACACAAGCATTAAAGCAACCTGTCCAAGGTGACCACCTGGCCAACACGACTGCAACCGCCCTGATTTGGGTCTGCTCAAGGCCTGTAAACCTGCCCATGGTGACCACAATGTTTTCGATCATGTTGATTATTGATGATAACTATTGAGAAATCATGGAGAAACCAGCCAGTTTGACTCGACTGCTGGATGATGTTTTTGTTGGACGTAAATTGTTCCATGTGCCACCCTCCCCACATGCTGTCATGCATTCACCACCACATGTACAGAACTGAATATGCTTACAGCATTAAACATTAAAACATTTCGACTTGGAAACCATTATGTCATGTTGCGACCCTCTTCAAGGAGACCACCTGTCCAAGGTGGCCACTTTTCTTTGGTCCCCTGGGTGGTTGGCTTGGACAGGTTTGATCGTACTTGACATACCTGTGAGATGAGGTTCTGTACCTCCTCCTGTGTTGGCGTTGTGTCCGTGGGACTGTCGGACCGTGCGGGGATGTTGGTGGGCAGGCCTGAGGATGTGGACATGTCCCTGGACGGACCCTCCTTCCCAAGGTCATTCTCTGCACCTGGAGGAAACAAAATTACTGTGCTAACAGAGGATACTGCAAATCACTTTTGAATTAATATGTTTGCGGTTGCAAAAGTTTGCGGTCTGAGAAAATTGGACATGTTTGCGGAACTATGCATTCTGCTGGAGTTCTGCTTCTCGCCGCATTTAATATGTAGTCAATGCAGCAAGAACACAATCCCAAACAAACATTTTTGAGAGTACTGTACAAACAGTTCTTAATCAAAGTTATTATGACAAATGTTTAATTCTTGGCACATTCCCAAAACTTAATCCGTGTATCAGTATCAATGTTTGGACATCCTTTCAAATAGAGGCTGATCGGTGGGCGTCACTGCTGAAAATGAAGAAAGTTGTGTAAAGTGCTTTTTCAGCAGTCAGACTTTGGTTACCAGAACTGAACTCACCTTCCTGTGTGATACCATCTGCCCTGTTGTCTAGTGAAACCTCCTCCCCTATTTGGTTGAGCAGGCTGTCCACCCTCTCTACATCTGTCCTCTTCTGGGTTGGCTGAAGTAGCTGCAACAGAGGGGTTCCCTTAACATGGATCTCACAATTTACAGCATATACTATCTAGTATTCCTTTGGTCATTCCTTATTTCTCTACAGCCATTTGAAAATAGAATACTTTCAGTAAAATTCGCCACTTAGTCCAAATTTTTTTGAGAAATGGAAGTTAATAGACAATATATATGCAAGGTAAGATCCAGAAAAGCCCTCTCACATGCAAGCTTTTGTCTAATATAGCTATATATATTAGGTAAAGGTCCTGTGGCCGTAGGGACAGTGGGCTCACTCTACAGCACAGTTGCAGCTGCAGCACGGTACTGGAAGGTAGAGCCCATCCCTCTCCTTCCTCTGCCTTTTACCTCCCCAACTGGTACCCATTTTATACCTGGGCCAAGTTGTTTAAGTGCCTTTCCCCAGGACACATTGTCTAGCTTGGAATCAAACCCTCAATATCTAGATCTTATGTCCGCTAGCCAAGGCACATGGGCATTGGATGCCACTTGTGCTTCAGTTAACAATTCCTAAGGTCAAACTCAGAATCTTACCGATGAGCTAGCCTGTGAGGCAGCAGGATCCCTCCCCTGGAGTATGGCCAGTCTGTCTGTGATGTCTTGTTGTGAGGGGGGCGGTTTGTCTGTACCCTTCAGGGCTGCCAGTCTGGCTGCCATCTCCTGTTCTGTGGGGATGTGGGCTGCAACATGACGCAGGTATTACTAATTATATAACAAGGCAATCAGAAATAATAGAAAGTAAGCGCTCTCTGGCAGATCATACAGAAACTGCAGTGGAGTAACACAGAGAAGCCCTGGTACCTGTAAGTCTAGACAAATACAGTGCACTCCTCCCCTGAGTGTATATCGTGAACGAGCTCCGGGGTCACAGAAAGTAGGGCATCTGGGGCAGACAGGTTTTCCCAAGGGTTTCCAGGAATGTGAGTATGGACAGTGTGCGTCAGCAAACAGAGCTGGGAGACATTCCTGTGGACATTCCATGCCTGTGGACAAAATTCCTGTACCATTCCTAGAATTCTTGCAAACAGCACACAATACTGTACCATTAGGCTCCTCTCTGAGACGTCGCCAAAAAAAAGACCGTCATCAAAATGCCAGCTCTTTAGCTATTCAACAAGTGGTTGTGAATTAAGAACTTCGCTATTCAATTATCATTCACCAACCTGATGATAAAACTACTTATGGATACATGTACCTGGTTTTCTGTCTTCCTTAAGTCTCTGTAGCCTCTTAGCGATCTCTCTGTCCTTAGACCCAGGGGGAAACCTCCCCTGTACAGGTCCCCCGGGTAGTGGGGCTGTGGTGTGGGATCTGTTTGAGGCTGCTGCATGTTTCTCCAGTCTCCTGGTTATACAGATCAATATGTCATTACAATATTATAGTAAGCAGATATCAGTTAGGCCACATTGACTTAATTTCATGGATGACATCCTCTGATGACCTCCAAACTACATGTAGTGTGTGTGGGCGAATAAAAAAAATCCAGTAAAAAAAAAAACTGAAAAGCGCAGGAATACAAAGATGGTATTGTGAATTTGCGGTAGTACAACAAAGTTTTTATTTACGTAACATGGCAACTTTTATGACAAGCTGGCACATGCTGGCCTTTTGCGGCATTTATGAGTCGGCACTTTACTGAATTTTTGCATTCTGTTGAGCGTTGGCAGCCTGGGCGCCATCCTGCGTAGTTACCACCAGCTCACCATTATTGCTAGCTACCATGGGCTGCGGAGGATGGCACCCAGGATTCAAACTCCCAACCTCTTGGTCCAGAGTTGTTGGCTACTCTGCATGCTACCACATCAGTCTTAAAAGAGAATTTGGAAAATGGATAAGTGTGCAAAGCAGCCTTTGTATCTACAGTTCTGTATGTCAATGTGTTAGAATGAAGTGAACACACAGTATGGATCCACATTATATCCACAAACACAATTAGAGGCAAAACTTTGTAAACTTACTTTTTGAAATTTGCTGGTGGGGAGTATCTCCCTGCAGCTGTCTTCGTCTTTTCACTGAAATAAAAAAAATGGTGTGAAGTTACAAGCTACATATATTGTAAGTCTTCCATATTATCTGAGTAAGGAATCTGAGCAAGGATCTTAGTGACAGAAGGGAACACCAATTCTTCAATAAAACGTCTTGTACCTGGTCTCTTTGTTTTTCTATTTGATCTTAGGCCACACGAATTTAACTTCTTGGTTAATGGATTTTTCTACAAAAATAATGGAGCGGGCGGGCGAAAAAAAAATAAATAAATAAAAACAGGCCTAGGCATCATAGTATGGCCCAAAATGGCATGACAGGAGCCATGAAGTCAACACACCAGGCTGGTTCAAAATTTAAACAGTGAATTTTGAACTTTTAATGATACCATTGTATTGAAAGATGGAATAACTGTACATGTAACAACTAGGATGAAAAGGACTGTTTTCAACTGTTCAGGGCAAAATATGAGCATTTTGCAGTTTATCTTGAATTTTTATTTTTATTTGCAAATCAGAAAAAAATGAAGCGGGCGAATCCTTTAACCAAGAAATAAAATTGGTGTGGCCTTAGTTTGAACTATTTTTTTATCAAACTTTTATACATTTTGTACATACATTTGTATGGGGCCCATCATCATCATCATTTTCTTGGTACAAGTGACTGGGTTCATGAATACATGAAAATTTTATGACAATTTCTCACCTTGTGACTTCGTCGTAACATTTGTAACACACGTTTTTGGCTGCCTGTTGTCCTGGTAGCACCACAGACTTGCCCACACACTTACTGCAGAAGGCAAACCCACATCTGGGACACCCAACCTGAACATGGAGACAGGATTGTGGTCAGTATATATAAGCTGCTTCATGGTTTGCACTGTGCATGCACCACATGATGGGGTTGGCGGAAAAACACGTCCAGTCCAGCTAAACATAGTCTCCAAGCAGATGAACAGTAGAGTTGGATACTGGCTGAAAACAATCAGCTTGGGGATTAGGGGATAATTGTTGCCAATCCTGCTGAATTTAGCATGTCAAGCATTGCCAGAAATCCCCATGCAGACCCTTTTTTCAGACTGGATAGGTTTCTCCGCCTCAGGACTGGGTGGTTTTTCTGCCAACCCCCACACGATGCTTGTGAATCATACCAGTTATAAAGGATACATCAGTTCCCAATTTAGTCTTTTTGAGGCCGTACATATATTTATATCATACCCGGGCCGCGATAACGTTCGATAACGGGTACCGGACCGGGCTGTACTTTACGGTACGGCCCGGTCCGGAACCCATTGTCGAACGCTTCCATGGCTTCCATAAAACGATTCAAACGCGTTTTGTCCTAACTGCGTGCGCCACTTTCAAAAATTCGAATACAGAATCCGAACGTTGGAACTGATGTTGTAATGCATTTGAGGGTTTAGGGGCACCAACTTTTGGCTCATCTTGCATTGAAAGGCGTGTTTTCTTGGGTGGGTTTGACATAAATAAAATACAACACGGGGTATTCCGCATCGCCCTCGGTCCCGGCCCTCCCGCGAGTCGGGCCGATACCTCGGGCGATACGGAATACCCCGTGTTGTATTCTATATGTATGTATGAAGGTAGTGGCCTGTTGATAGACTGACACTGTCTTAGGGCACGTATTGGAGGGCAGAGCCCACCTCTCTCCTTTTATTGCCTTTTCTATTGCCTTTTGCCTTGTATTTGTTAGTAGGAATGAACCATTCATTTTTAGGTTTGCGCAGTTTAGTCATAGTCTGCTGAGACTGACTGATAATATTATATAACGTTATATATTGCCTTTTACCTCCCCAACCGAATTCAGGTACCAATTTACCCTGGATGCCAAACTTGTTAGGGTGATTTCCAATGTAGTAAGTTGACTCAACGGATAACACAAACAAGCACTGGTCACATGTAACCTAGCTTTATATATACTAGTACATGACATAACTCACATGCTATTGAATCATAGTCGTAACTCTATTACAGTCTAATCTTGATTTAAAAGGAAAAATAGCCTAGGTTTTTTTTTTCTAAAGAAATTGTGCCTGTCATTGGAGCAACATAGGTCGATGTATGTCAAGGATGGCATGTCAATGTATCTGAGTAACGTTACATGATGCAACGTTATAAATTTAAACAATGTTGACACTTTATGATGCCCCCCTCCCCCCAAATACAACTATGGGTAATGTTCAGTAAAAATCCAAGAAAATCATTTCAGAACTCACCTCTTTTTTGAACAGACCAAATTTTGTAGCGCATCTGTAACATTTGCCACTCATGACGGCGACAGTTTCTTAACTGTTGACTCGCGAAGGACAAAGTTTTGTGAACAATTTTTCAGGAAGCTTGTTTCGTCTGCTGCAAAATGATGGTGGTCAGAGGTTAAGGCAGCTGCGCCCCCTAGCGACAATGATGAAAACAGGATTTCACAAAGTTTTAATTTTACCAATGTCCGCGACTTTACATTGTAAAGTTACGTCCGTAAAAGGTGATTGCCTCTATGAACAGAGGAAGCTCATATCCCGACAGATATTGTTTTGGCCGGAAAGAACCCTCTAACGTTACAACCAAGTCCTTGCTACAACGCGTCGAACAAACGTCGACAGTTTTGAAATCGCATACAGGTGTTTTCAAAAAGTAAGTATTTTAAAGTGGGACTCACTGTACGTCGTGGTGCTGCGAGAATAGTTCATCAGTTACGAATGTATATGTGTCCGATAAGTCTCAAACGTGTATATATGACAAGAAAGCCTTTGACAAATTCAGGGTAGCTACTAAACTGTAACATTTTTACAACGACTATGCTACATTGCCTTGTCAGTGCTATTGTTAACAATCCATGGCCACATTGAAAGACATGCAACATGAGCAGTCTGGTTGGTATATACGGGATCCATTACGTCATACGTCCCATTGTCAAGAGAAACGTCAACGTCCACACAGGTTGCGGCGTTACCTGGCGTTACCTGGCGTTACCTGGCGTTAACATAACAAGAGACTCGGTGTTTTGCTAGTTCGAAGGCTATTAAAACGCATTCTATCAAGGATTCGGCAGTAGGATTCGCGAGTGAACATGGTAATACACATGAGCATGCCGGTCTGCTACGTTGGACTTTTGACAAGTCTCCTTTGTCTACTGAGCTGTGTGCGGGTTGGAGAAACACTAGAAGGGTGAGCAAACTTTTTTTTGGGGGGGGGGGGTTCTAAAACCATTTACTTCTAGATTGTCAGTGTTTTTTTTTATTTCAACAAAACATAGTGAGGACGCGCTCAAGCAAAATTGTCAGTTACTGTTGAAGGCTTCTCCAGAAAGGAAACGCAAACTCTATGTTGCATGACCTGTTTTCACTTTGTCTAAAAGATATTTCAGAGAATATTTCTGAAGTGAACAATTCATGATCAGCGCCTGAGCTCTCTGGTTTTAGAATCAACGTTTTCCTATATACTAAGAGAATGCGAATTTCTGTTGCAACTGTCAAAGGAATAATTAGTCTAGTATTCAACGTGCTATATCTGTTCCTGTATCTCTGCTAGGCTATACTAGTGAATACTAGTATGTAGTCTCTACCAGACTAACTACGCTGGTTATATATAAGAGAATAATTGCAAGGGTATACGTACTTTGGCCGCCTTGTAGGTTTGACTGGCCGCGCAGTTCGGAGGGAAAGAAACTACCTCCCCGCGGCCGGACTCCCTTGGCCAATTTTACTCTCCTTTTTGCCGAATTCTACGATCCGTATTCCAGTAGAAAGGCCTGGTGGAGGCTAGTGAATATGAGTACAGGTCGCACGGATACGAAAGTGAAACAACAGTTGTTCGAAGCCATCGAACAATATCGAATTACACATTTTCTTTCCAGCTAAGAACTGGGCAAAGTGAGTGCTAAACATGTACAACATTATCATGGTCGAGATAGTGACTTTGGAAGCTAGTTAGGGTTAATATGTGCACAAGTAGATTTCATTGAATGTTGGCACTACCCTGTTTAGAACATTGTATATTTAGCGTTGACATTAGAATCCGTTAAGTAACTAATTATGATCCACATTTCCTACTTTTACTCCCAACAGAAAGCCTATCCATGATATTTTCAACCATCAAAATCAATTCATATTTTTTTCCTTTTCCTGTCCACATACAAATAAACGGAAATGGTGAAAAAAAAAACCTGCCTCAAGTGGTACATGCAGTGAAATATAAACATACACATGCAGTCAAGAACATTGACTTAGCTAACAATGAAAACACAACGGAAAGGTATCGGTTGACTGCCCTTGATGACCCACCTATTCTACAGTAGCTGGCTCCGAGTGGTACAGGAGTATTTTTATCGTAACCAAATCCACTGAGCCAATAAAACGAACGCAGGCCACACATAATTTATTAATGACCGCCGAATAGTGCAAGTTGGGTGTGACGAAAAGTCTGGTTACCACGTTGCTAAGGTTGTGTTATTACTCTATTGGTGTGTTGTAAGCGTCATATTTTCTAAGCAAAACACAACACGATATCTAGCCTACAAGAAGTACCAAGAAAAAAAAAGCTCGCGCTGTGATTAGGGGACCAGAGGCGACGATTCTAAGTAACACATTGCTGGTTTTCAGACGCAAATATGTTAAATGTAGAAATGAGCTATGTAGGTTACGGTCGTTGTAGGCCGTCGAAACATCTAATTATGGCTTCACCACACTGTGTGGTGAAACATATTGTGTTCTCTCATGTTTCTTCTTCTCCTTCTCCTCCTGCCATCGGATTCAACTAATTTTTGTTTTTTGGTACAGGCTTTTTAAATTGTTTTATTTAGTTTTTTGGGGCCATTTTCTGACAAAATCTGTATAGTTTTCCGTACTACGACATATTTAACCGGGCCCGTTTCCTTAAGTAAATGATCAATAACTGTACAACGTTCAAGTCTTGGCCCTCTGTTTGTTTGTTTGTTTGTTTCGCATAACCGGTAAACATGTGAGTACAAGTACAAGCTGCATAAGACCGGACTGTTTAGGTTTCAACCACTCACACACGGTCCTATACTCTTTTCGATAAGTGTGATGGGTTTTTTTTAACATGCGTGGCATGTGGCTCTCTCCCAAACACGGGACCTCCATTTAAGGTCCTATCCGAGGGACGTCCCTAACCGAGGCTAGGTACTGGGTGAAGTAAGGAAAGTTGTGTAAAAATGGTGATATGCTAGGATTCAAACCAGGGACCTCTTGGTACCGAGCCGAACACGCTACCGATTACGCCACACGACCCCATCTGTAAGTCCTGGTTCATAAAATTATGGGTTCACCACACCACGAAGTGGTGGTGAACCCATATTGCTTTTTCTGATGTTTCTTCTCCTCCTTCTCCTTCTCCTCCTGCCATATTTTTAAATGGATTCAGCTTCTTCATTTTAGGGCCTAAGGTCCTGAAATTTGGTATGGAGGTACAGTGGGCAAATACCCCTAGGCGTTTTTTTGTGATACAGGCTTTTAGAATGGTTTTATTTGAGTTTTTTGGCTGTGTTATAGCAAATGTATTACTGAGTTAGTGTGCAGTGTTACCACATTTGGGCATGAGTCATCACAATGGAATGCAGGGCATCAACCAATAGGCATGCAGCTTTCCTCTATTCTCCTTGCTGATTGGTTGTTGGAATTTAACAGGCTTAACTTAATTAATACCTGCTCAGATCCATTCCATACTGACAGTATGTCTGTATTCAAGTGTTTTGGTAGGTATTTCAAGCTTTCCTGCTCCAGCATTGGAATGCGGGGCATGAACACTTCTTTTTTTCTTGAAAATCAACAGTTTGCATTATGCAATTAAAAATCCTAACCAATAATGTAGGGAATAGCTATCCAACTGTTGTAGTCTTAGTTGTATGTTACTTCATACTATAGTTATATCAATGTAAAGCATTGTTTTCCCTTGTGTTTCTCATTCTTTCCCTGCCATGTCGTAAAATGTGGTGAAGCCATTGCTGTATTTGCTCCAAAGCAAATGTCGGCCTTTCTAGTTAAGTTCTACATTACAAAACATTTTTGGTGTTCATATGTTTTCAGACCACCAGGAAGTGTCTGCCCAGGACTTGGCAATGTGACCCAGGAGTGCTGTGAAGGATGGGTCCGTGCGGGAGAAACGTGCACTGGTAACACCATAACTTTTAAACTACAGAATTAGCTGATGTATTTGTTTGTTTGTTTGTTGTATTCATTTTACGAGGGGATACCAAGGACGTCCTAACCGTCCTTGGGGCGCAAACAAAAGCATTTACATCAAAATCAACTCAGTCCAAATTACAACAAAGGTAACAAATAAAGTTACGCAAATTACTAATATATGAAATATGCTGTGTGTGTTTGTATGTATGTATGTACGTGTGTGTTTGTTTGCAATTGTGCGTGTGCGTATGCCTGCGTGTGCAACAATGTACATACATGTACTGATATTGTTAGCCTTCCATAACATTCTGGTGACTTTACTGCATGATAAATCTTTCTCCAGTGAGGACATCTCCAGACAACAGAGGAACAGAGTTTGTGGTCGGCTTCATGCAGAACTACGAAGATGTGAACTCCACGAGCGAACCCGAGCTGGAGCTGTTCCTGACCAGCGCGAGCTCAGAACCCGCCAACGTCACCATCGCCGCTCCAGGTGCCAACTACACGGAGCACCTGGTGGTGACTACCGCAGCTGTGCAGCTGGTCACCCTGCCGCTCTCCCTGATGCTCAAGTAAGAATTGACTTCACATCGGAAAATTACCTTGCAACTAAAAAGGCCGACATTTGCTCGGGAGCAAATGGCTTCACCACATCCCCCGTACCAAAAATGGATCTATCCCACTCCCACACAAATGGATTGTTCCTAAATCACCCCTGTCGAAAATTTGAAGTGTTCCAATAGTCCATACCCCCATGCAGCAATGGAATCTTCCAATGCTGTTGGAACATGTAGAGACAGTGTTCTAGGTTCTAAGAGAAATAAAAGTATTAAGTATTAAGTAAAAGTATAAAAGGTAAATAAAAGTTTCCTATTATAGACTTACAGTATTGATCACATTATCATTGTTGCCATCCATTTTACCACGTACAACTGTCGAGCAATCACGTTAAAATTCTTTCATTCATTCATTCATGTTCAGCGGAACCGAGCGGGCCCAGAAAGGCGTCCAGGTCACCGCCGACCGAGAGATCATCCTGTACGGCGTGAACAAGGAGAGGCACACCACAGACGGCTTCCTGGGTCTTCCTGTCGACGTTCTCGGTAAAGAGTACTTCGTGGCTTCTTACACTGCCCTGGATTGGAGCTTACCGTCCGAATTCGCCGTCTTCGGTGTTGAAAACGGCACCTCGGTCAACGTCACTCTGAAGGGGTGGGTGTACCACGACGGCAGGGACTACTATCCCGAGAGCGTCATCACGTTCACGCTAGACCGTCTGGAGGCTGTGCAGATTCAGGGCAGGTACGGGTCGGATCTTACGGGGAGCCGCATCGTGTCGGACAAGCCGGTGTCCGTCATGTCCGGCGTGCGGTGCACCTACGTGCCGAAGGAGTACTGCTGTTGTGACCACCTGGTCGAGCACGTCCCGCCCGTCAACACCTGGGGGCGGCGCTTCGTGACGGTGCCGCTCGCCGTGCGTGAAGCGGGCGACATCTTCCGCCTGGTGGCTGCTAGAGACAACACCACCGTCAACGTCACTGGTGTACACGTATCTCCTCGTACGCTGGACGCTGGCGACTTCTGGGAGCTGGACCTTTGGAACAGCACCGACACGCACATGACAATCGCCTCCTCGCTGCCAATCATGGTACTGCAGTTCAGCAAAGGGCAGGAATCCGACAACATCACCACGGACCCCTTCATGATGTACCTGCCGCCGGTGGAGCAGTTCGCCGCCGACTACACCTTCGCCACGGTCGACGCGCTGACGTCTACGGCCTACACCAACTTCGTGAACATCGTCATCAAGACGTCAGAAACGTCCGGGCTGACGTATGACGGCAACCCGCTACCTAACGCCACGACCTGGTCACCCATCCCAGACACCGATCAGTCCGCCACGCAGCTGTACATCGCCACCAACGGGACACACAAGATCAAGCACCAGTCCGCCATTGTCACCTTCTCCCTGCTGTACTACGGCTTCTCCTCCTACGACTCCGTGGGGTTTCCAGGGGGTCTCCGATTGGCCAGCATCTCCGGCGGATGTGACGTCACAGAACCAATCGCTGGCGACGGCGTCGACAACGACTGTGACCAACTGGTGGACGAGGAACTACTGAACGGAATGTAAGATCGACTCAGGTTTTACCCTTCTAATATTACGGCTTCGTTCGAAGTGTAAACTTCAACGCTAATGATTTCTGATTATGAAAGAAAAAAGTTATTCAAAGAAGTCTCTGATATTTCTCCAAGTTTTTCACGTCTCAACAAACAACAGAAGACTATGTTTAAAGTTAAAACTTTTGGTCCAATTATGCAACAAAAAAAGTTCTCTCACCTAGAGCTTTTGACCAGTCACTCTGGTCTTCCTCAGTAGACTGACCCAGTTAGGCCTGTCATGACGTGGCTTCTTTGAAGTGTGACGTCAACACAGGTCAAAGGTATCTGGTACTGAGGAAGACCAGAGTGACTGGTCGAAAGCTCTTGGTGAGAGAACTTTTTTGTATTGGACCAAAAGTTTTAACTCTAAACTCTAGTCTCTATCACGTATGCGTACATTATTATCCTTTTAAAAGTAGAGATAGAAAGTTACACTACAGTAGAACGTAGAATTTCACTCTAAATAAGTACTATATGGTTTTATACCATCTCTTAAATCCGCCAATGTCTGTTTGCAATTACTTAGTAGCCTTCTGGCAAGAACTTGCAATAAAGCTGTCTATCTAATCCCCAGAGATGATGACAGTGACGGTCTAATTGACGAAGATTTGGCTGACATCAACCATGACGTGGATGAGTGTGGACTCGGGTGGGCTGACTGCCACCCTGACGCAGTCTGTGTGAACACACACGGGTCGTACAAGTGTGTGTGTAAACCTGGATTCACCGGAGACGGCAAGACTTGCTGGGGTGAGTATGAAGCTCTTCCAACGTTGTGGGTTCGTGTGGCGTAGCGGCAGAGTGCTCGACTCGTAATCAAGAGGTCCAGGGTTCGAGTCCTGCCACACCGCCCTTGTGATTCATATTTGGGTATGAGTCATCAGAATGGCATGCAGAGCAAGAGCCAATAGACATGCAGCTTTCCTCTTTTCTTCTTGCTGATTGGCTGTTGGGATTTAATTGGGTTAACTTCCTTAACACCTGCACAAAGCCATGTCATATTGACAGTATGAACTGCATTCAAGTGTTTTGGTAGGTATGTCAAGCTTTCCTGCCCCGGCGTTGGATTGCACGGCATAAGCGCTTCTTTTTATCTTAAAATCAACAGTTTGCATTATACAATTATCCTAACCAATAATGTAGGGGATAGCTATCCAACTGTTGTCACTTCATGTAAAGAATAGTTTTCCCTTGAGTTTCTCCGGAGTTCTTTCCCTGCCATGTCGTAAAATATGATGAAGCCATCCGCTGCATTTGCTCCAAAGCAAATGTTGTCCTTTCTAGATTATATTAAAATGCCCTTGCTTCCTCTCCTTTTCAATTGTCTCTGGTGCATACAGCCAGGAGCACGTGTGCTGCCTACGGAGACCCCCACTACATCACGTTCGACGGGGGCACGCACCACTTCCAGGGCGCGTGCACGTACACACTCGCGCAGAACTGTCACAACCACACCCTGCCTTACTTCAACGTCGAGACCAGGAACGAAAACCGCTACGGCAACCCGCGCGTCAGTTACGTCACGGACGTCACAGTGGAGGTCTACAACCACAGAATTGTGGTGGAGAAGAACAAGATTGTCTATGTAAGTATACCCAGATGCACACACAGGGGTCGTGTGGCGTAACGACAGAGCGTTCGGCTCGGAACCAAGAGGTCCCGAGTTCGAATCCTGCCATGCCACCGATCTTGTGCCCTTAGGAAAGACAATTTATACAAATTTCCTCACTCTGGTGAAAATGAGTATGTCAGTTCTTGCCTTTGTCCGTGTTGAAAATATGTTGAAAAAACTTGAGTGTGGCGTCGCCATGTTTTGTGACAAATGGAAATATTGGAATAGAAAACAAACATGCACACAATATATTTTGTCCTTTGACCAACAATTAACGCATTCTTGTGTCAGGTGCCGGAATAGACTTGATCGCAACAGTGTCACTCTTCATTAAAAAAAGTAACAGACACGTTTTCTGACGTCTATATTTTATACTCTGTACAGACATTATGTCGACTTTGATTTACAGCCAAACTGTGAATAATGTGGTCCATATGGGGTCAAAGTTCAAGGTCAGATAGCAAGGTCAAAGCTACAAATCTGCAACGGCTATAATATCAAAATATATTCCACAGACATCCCACTTTTTCAAAAATCATAATGAGAATTTGCCACCCCACCCAATGTGAAATTTGGGCCGTTGACTAAACGTACGATTTCTTCTTCCCAGATTGACCACGTGATCACAACTCTGCCGGCCGAACCACGGGCCGGTCTAACAGTCAAGTTCGTGGGTCTGTACGTTACCATAGAGACAGACTTCGGGCTGAAGGTGTCGTTTGACGGGAACCATCGCGCCGAGGTCGTCCTGCCCGACCTGTACCGCAGCGCCCTCTGCGGACTGTGTGGGAACTACAACGGCGACGTCAGTGACGAATACCTGACACCTGACGGCACACAGGCTGCTACCGATGTACAGTTCGGCAACAGTTGGAAGGTTGAGAGGGAAGGCGAACAGTAAGTGATCTTTAATCTGGTGTATGAAAATGGCTCTGTCCCTGGTGCAGAACACTGTCAACATCATGATAAACAGACCTGTCCCTGGTGCTGAATACCATCTGTTATCATGTTAGTATGTATTCAGTGTTTAAGATTTATTAGCACGCTTACGCATCACGGGCACAATGGAAGGGGGCATGTCAGCTGGTGT